GGGGGGGGGGGGGCGAGTTGGCGTCGACCAGCTGAGCTTGGCTTCGTCTTTTTCTCTTCACTCGACCCACCCACGTTTTGCCGGTTATTGTGTGTTGTGTATATATATATATATACCTGGTAGGCACAACAAAGCGTTGCCAAGGTAACTCATCGGCGTTTCTCCTGGTTGCCATCACAAAACATTTTCCACTTGCTGATGAAAACTAACATCTGCGCTAAGCTACAATGACATTAAGATTCGTGTATGCAGTTACGGGAGGCGTCGCTGCGCCAATGCAAAATTTTTACTTTTTATCGTCTACGTCACTCGTTCTTCTTATATGAAAAACTCCTTTTCCAATCGGAATTATGTCGCTTCATAGGATCTACAGTGTTTCTAGAATCAGTAATCGTTCGCTGTCACTGACTATCCCTATTTCATGTAATTTCATTACCGATAACAGTAATTGTAACTCTGTCGATATGGCAGATCCTTTTATACAGTAGAGTACTTATACGAATTACACTGTACTCTTATGTGATACAGTGCAATCAGTGTGTTCTGGGACGAACGTCAGAATCCTTGCGCTTTACTTTTTACTGATCGATGATAATGAAAAGATTCTCTTTTTTTATCTGCTTTTATGCAGATCACGCGTTGCAATTACGTATTGTCATAAAGTACACGTGTTAGCGTTGTTTATTTCTAATGAATTCTATTCGTTATTTTATACTCGTTAGGTGGGGCTTATTTACCTAGGTGATTTTTCCTTGCAAAATTCTTTCCGAACCGCCCCCCCCCCTCCTTTCTCTCTTCTTTTGGTTTTCTTCAAGGACTCTCACTATGCGTTCCTTCGGTACGACTCCTCGCCAACGTATTTCCAGCTCGATTCTAGTTTGCATAATATATGGGTTACTACTGCCACCTCGCTCGCTGCCATGAACACATATGCCTATATGCCATACGCTACCACGCATGTGTGATATGGCACGGCTAAGTTTGGTGCGTGTACATACACGTGATCATGCGAGGGCACACATGCTGCCTCTATGACATTTATATTGCAGTGTCAATATTGTGTGTGCGGCTGTGTGTCGTGCCTTGTAAAAGTTTACTCATGTACGTGGATACCTAGTGTGTGTATCCGTATTATACGACGATTCCTGTTCTCCGACGAATTTTTTTCTCTTTTTGGGACAAAAACTGGATTTTTATGTTAAGCATTCAGTTGCGCTATAATAATCAACGTAATAATGCTGATATCATAAACCAAATTGGATAAACGATCCTTGGCTGTACGAGCTAGTCGTGTGAAATTTCGTTGCTTTCACTTGCTTCTAAGAAAGCCATTTTTTTCTGTATAGTCAATATTAAAAAATCCAATCAGTGCTTGTGTATTATAGAGGATTTATATTGAGTTTTCTTATCGAGGGTATTGTTTACGGTCTGGAGATATTTCAGAGGGATTTTTGCTCAAATTTAAGCTTGTGACTTGTATCTTGGAAATATCTGCGGTTTGCATCGAGCACGAGAAGCTTTTCGTAAAGTCGTGTAGGTTGATTCTGGACTTAATGAAATTGGTCGGCTTAGCTGGGACCTTTAAGTATGTCGATCAGACTTGTGACACGTGTTAAGCTACGACTAAAATTATATTCGCGATTCGTAATGAAGCAATAAGAAAAATACCAATTTTATCAACGAGTTGGAAAGAAATTTTACTAAAATTTCTGTCGCTTCAAGCTATTTAAAAAGAGAACAAAGGGACTACAGAAGTCTGTAAAAAAATCATTGAATCATTTACCAGGTTATTGCCCAAAGTTTACTACATTTGTCGTCACAGTCGGCGACACAGTTACTATTCCCTTGATGTGCAATCGATAAATCAATATTAATATCCAGTCTGTTATGTTACGGCCAATTAGCTTAACAATCGTCAGACATTGGCTGTACGCACAATCAATATATTGTGTAACATTGTTACACAATTTATAATAACAAATGAATTTTCGGTATGAAAATCATAGAAAAATTATTATACCTTATAAACAGACACACACACATACAGTGTTATCGGGTACTATTGCATCACCCCAAGATGGTTGTACCACAAGAATCGATGTAAACCAAATGAAGCTAACTTCAAGTGGTATAATAGTCCTGAATAGCCTTGCACGTATAGAGTATGTTTATAGTATGACTGTATAATAAGGTCAAAGGTCACAGTCAAAAGTGTATGCCTACTAGTCAATTCCTTGATCGAGCGACGTGTTAGTGAAAAAAGATATTCGATTGATCCCCGAGTTAGGTGCACATTCCACCTGTCTTGCACTGACGACGCAGGCCTTGGCATCCTATCGCCGTTGAGGTAAACGACGGGTTAGGTTAGGTTAGGTACGCGCTCTTTCCCAAGAGGTCACCTCCCCGAAAGGCGTCAAGGTCGCATTCCCCAGGTGCCTCTCTTATATGCTGATTACGTTGCACAAGCGAATATCACGGTTGCAATTATTATGGTGTATGCCTATGTACTCGCGCATGCGCAGAATAACCAGCTCGTCTACCTTCTCACCAACAGCATCCTTCTTCGTCGTTGCTCACCTGGTAGGACATAGCGCGTTACTTTCGATTATCATTGCTCGTAAGCTCTCGTACTTCTTGGTCGTATCTCCTTTCCAGCTCCTGAAAATAATTTACTCGCTTGGTATCGCTTCTTTTTCTACATCGTCGTACTTAACGGGAGCCACGACGCCATCCTTGTCTTTGATTCCCATTGGCCGTGTGCATGCATTGGCTGCGCCTCTGCACATCGTCCAAAGACAGAACACGTAGTCCTTGAATAAAGCAGCGTATAAGGTATGAGGGAGAGAGAGAGAGAGAGAGAGAGAGAGAGAGAGAGAGAGAGAGAGAGAGAGAGATTAGTTGGTAACTTTTGAATTGAAAAAAAAAGTGAATCGTGGAATGCAACGAGGCTCGATAAAGTCACAACAGCCGTTGCGCCAGCTTGTTTTGATGTCGTAACATGTTTTGAGTTCTCTCTCTCTCTCTCTCTCTCTCTCTCTGTTGTACCACTTTGGTATTCCTTCTGGAACACTCTCACTCGTTTTATATTGATGCGGTTGTTGGTT